TGCTTTTCGACTGACAGGTGCCTCCTCCGCTGTTGTATGGGACGCGCCTTGGCTTTGACTGAGAGGCGATGCTCGGAGACCCTTCTGGGGACTCCGGGCATGTCCTCTGGCCCCCACGCGAAGAGGTCTTGGAACTCTCTGAGGAGTGCGAGTAATTTCTGGGCCTCTTCTTGGGCGAGGTGCGCGGAGATACGTACTGTCCTCTCTGGCCGCTCTGCATCTAGCGCGATCGCCACGTCCCCTTCGACCGCTTCCGGTCTCGGGACGTCTCCTCTAGTGTCGACTAGATCGACCTCGAGGTGCTCGATGGCGGCTTGGTAGCACTCTCTAGCCTCTTGTGGGTTACCTCGAACGCGTCCGGTTTGTCCTCCGCTTGGGAACTTAAGCATCTGGTGGCATGTGGATGCAACCGCCTCGAACGAAGCCAGGAAGCCGCGTCCAAGAATGGCATTATATGCCGAAAGGCAATCCGCCACGTGAAACTCCACGGGTCTGGTCTTTGTGATTCCTCCTTCTCCTATGGTGACTTTGAGCGTGATCGAGCCGAGGACACGGACTTTGGTGCCGGAGAACCCTACCAAGCTGGTGGTGGAAGGGTTGAGATCTTGGATGCTCTTTTTCATCCCTTTGAGTGCCGAGTAAAATAGTATGTCCGCCGAGCTCCCATTATCGACCAGGGCTCTAGTGACTTTGAACTTGGCGGTTCGAAAGGAAATGACCAAGGGGTCTTCCGAGTTTTCTTCGTCGGCCAACTCAGACGGTAGGAAGACGACCTCGGTTGGAGTTCTCCGCTGCACGTTAAGGCATTGAGCGACGCGGTCTCCGTTAGTTCTCGGGCGCTTCCGCCCCCCAGCAATCGTTATGACTTCCATCCCATCGTCTTCGTTTCGAGGAGCTCTGTAGGGAGGAGACTGCCTCGGGGAGGCGACCTTGTTCCGAGAGCGGGACCTTGATCTTTCCTTCCTTGTGCGTCTCGGCTTGTCCTGCTCGGGACTTGGGGACTCCTCCCGCTCTTCTGCTGAGTGTTCTCGGTGGGACCGCCTCATTTCTAGCTTGCTTCTGAGGTCCCCTGGGGCCAGATGTCGGAGCGTGGCCTTGAACTCTCTACACTCCGTGGTGTCGTGGGTCGTGATTTGGTGCCAGTCGCACCACTTTTTTCCTTCTTGCGGCTCCTGGGCGGAAGACGTCTCGTGCTTCCTTCCACCTTTCCTTCGGTCCCTTCCTTTTTCTCTGTCGGTGGAGAGGACATCTCTCCTTCCTTCTCGATCAGGGTACCGGTTCCGGTACGACCTGCGGTCCGGGGACCGCCTTCCCCTCCGGGATTCTCCACGCTCTGAGGCATCTCCTCTGGGACGGCTTTGCTGGCCCCGGTCGTCGTTAGCTAGCGCTTCCTCCAACAAGATCGCTCGTCGTACCAGTTGGTCTAAGTCAGACCAGGCCGCCAAGGTTGCCTCCTTTTTTATCAACGTTCTTTTCAGCTCGAGACTAGTTGTCGAGATTCGGAGGTTTCCGGCGGCCACGACCGGGGAGATACCGTCTATTTCGCAAGCTATCGCGTTCCATCGGTCGTAGAACTCAGCAAGCGACTCTTCTTTCCTTTGTCGGCAACCTATGAGTGCCGAGACGGTGAGTTTGCGACGCCGTTGAGACGCGAACTTGGTGGAGAAGAGCATCGCAAACTGCTCAAAGTTTTCTATGATCCCTTCCGGAAGAGAGGTGTACCAAGTTCGGCATTGACCGCTGAAGGTAACCGGGAACGCACGACACAGATCCGAGTCTGTCGCGTTGATGAGCTGCATTTTCAACATGAACGCGCACAGGTGGTCGGCGGGATCGGACGTCCCACTATAGGTTGGCAGTCCCAGAGAGGAGAAGTTCGGGGGGACCGGGGTCTTGAAGAGCTCCCTTGATAGAGGGTTTTGCAGAACGTTCGGGCTTTTGTGCTTCCCGAAAGTTGACCGCAAGTGTTCCTCTAGAAAGTTGAGGTCCGGGTCGTCGGCCTCTAGTCCTCCGCCTTCTGTCCGAGCAGGGCTGTCGAGGATGAGAGCGCCCTTCAGTTTTTCGTCGCGTGCTTTTCCCCTCGAGCCCTCGGCGGGGTCGTCTCGGGTCTTCAGGAGTTGGAGAATTTGGGAAAGGCTATCTTGCATGCTTGCAATTTGCACCCCTTGGTTCTTGACCACCTCCTCCAACTCGGGCTCATCTTCAACCCTCGGTGATAAGCCTCGGAGGGTGTTGTTTTCGGTCATCCCCTTGAGGGGGGTTTCGAAATCGTCTCCCATCTTGTTCGCCACAAGTAGCAGGGCCCCACGGTGGGCGCCAAAATGTTTGTGCCTGGAATGTACCAAGCGGTTTGTGAGACTCTACCGGCCTTGGGCGGCTTCGATGGTCGAGGGCGGTCTTCGAAACCCTGCAGAAAGGTCCTCAGGGGGATCCTGGGACCTCCTCCGATGCCTAAGTTAGAGAGAGAAGTGAAGAATAAGTAAATAAGAGAGAGAATGGAGTTGGTAGAAGTTACCATCAATGTGTCCCTATGAGAGGTATTTATACTAGTTTCGGCTGGGCTATGCGCATTAAATGCTATGTCGGGCGGTCTAGAACGCCTCTGGCTTTTCCGTTGCCCCTTGTCAGACTCCGTACGTAAAAGTCGTATTGTCGGGCGGTTCTATGCCCGTACCCTTTCTGTTGTGTCGGGCGGTTCTTCCTCAATGGATGTGTCGAACCGCCTCTGGTCGGGCTCTTCTAATCGGGCCTTGCTTGTCCTTGCTTGGGCCTTGAATGCCTTTGGGCCTATGGGTCTCGTGGCTCAATGCTTGGCCTAACAGGTGGTGTTTTAGAAAATGGAGAGGAATGTGGAGTGAAAGCGGCTTCCTGCCTGGCGGAGGTGATCTCGCAGAAGGAATCGACAAGAGCGGAATTGGCGGTGTCATTGAGATCGAGATTCCCGCCGGCAGCTTCCATGTTCAGTTTCGGGGGGTGTCGCCGGACCTCTGGGCGTACGATAGATGTGAGGCGGCGGCTGGGTTAGGGCTAGATTTTTTTGGGGGAATTGGAAGAAGGGAGAAATCAGAAAAGAAAGGATTCAGATTTTTTGGGTTATGGGGTTTTTGGGTTTTTTGGGTGGGGTTGGGTCATGGGTTGGGTTAGGTTGGTTTTAATGACGTGGGGGGTCGGGTTTTATTTTTGTTGGGTTATATCCAGCTGATTAGGCAATTCTGTTTGCCACATCAGCACTTAACGGACTTAATTAACGGAGTTGGACGGAGACTAACGGCGAGTGACTAAATGTGTCCAATTTTAGTAATCTTAGTGACCAAATTTGATATTAAATTTTTCTAGTGACTAAACATGTCCCGATTTTGTAATCTCAGTGACCAAATGTGTCTTTAACCCAATTAAATATGGTTAGAGGGTCCAATTAATCTTATTTCCTCTTTGATTAATTTGATTCGATTATCACCAATTTTTGTAACTACGTGGGATGTTAATTATTTTTTTTATTATAATCAGCATGGGATATTAATTATTATGTATGTAACAACCGGCCATCATGAATTGAGCAATGAATCATTTTAATCAATAATGCACGAACAAGTTGTGCATAATTTAAATTCAAACCGATCCTAAAACCTCCAATTTTTGGGGAATAAAAACAGCTAATTGATCCATTGATTAGGGAAATGTAGGTTATAACAAATTGGATAACTGTTCACTCTTCTTCCATGGTTCCCCCCACGTTTCTTCCTCCTTGGCTCCTTTCCCATGTCCGATGGTTCTGTTCATGCGGCCGTTCCCCCACATTTGACTAGTCCCACATTTTCCTTGATTTAATCGATACCCATTTCCAAACCAACCAATATTCACAGGTAATACAACTAGGGGTGTCTGTTCGGTTCAACCAATCAATATTCACAGGTAATACAACTAGGGGTGTCTGTTCGGGTCGGGTCGGTTACCCGAACCCGAAATCTGCAAAACCAAAAACCCGCACTAGTCACTAGCTGCAGACTCGAACTCGAACCCGTGAACTGGTGGTTTCGATTTTCGGTTACCCGAACTCGAAAAGGGCGTTGACGGTTTCGGTTTGGGTACATGCAATTCGAAAACTCGAAAGTGTTCAAGATGAAAACTGTCGGTTTGGGTACATGCAACAGTGAGTCCATCAGCCAACATTCGGGTTTTCGGGTTATTAGCGGGTTCCGGGTTTCAAAGGAGCCGAAACCGTTGTATCACAGTTCGGGCTGAAACCGAAAATTCAGGACTCGAAACCTCAGTTATCGGGTTCGGTTTTGGGTTAAACCAAAAACTGAAACCGGTCCAACTATAGCTTTATCTTTTGTTAGGGGCTTAGTACGTGTGCTCCTTTCGGGCAATAATTTTTGCTCTCCTTAAATCGGAAAACGCAGATTCTAATAGCATGATGGCGACTCATCAATCTCAAACCCCGACCTTCAGTTAGACATTTATCTCAAAAACAAATACAACTTTAGAACCTGAGCTACGCTAAATGTGATTAAATAACATTTATCTGATTTCGATTTAGTTCGTCGATAACAATATGCTAGATAGTAAGGTAAACAACCTTTCATATAAAAAATTTGTGCCCAAATTAAGATCTTGGAGACTAAACCAATTGCTGAAAATCGGTACATATATCATATATGTATTTATATTTCCCGTGGTTTGAATAAATAAAATACATTTTCTCATAATTGAGATTTAGAGAAAAAGAAGAAGAAGAAAAAAAAAGCTAATTGTATGTGTAATTTCTCCCCTATACATAGATCCAGGTCAAACACGGTAACCGAAGCCATTCTTCCTCTACCAAATTCCACGCTGACCTCCACCGCGTGCCACGTGTACATTACATTCCCCTCTTTCCCCGCCTCGAGACTGCCGCGCCGCTCCCCGTGACCCGGAATATTCGCCGCCCCCTAGCAAAACTACAAAACTAATCCGCCACGTGGCCAACGTAACTCGTCAACTCGGAACTCGCGACCCGCTTAACTCACTCTAGACGAACCCGGCCGAGTCTCCTCCGCCGACGACTCGGGTCCTCGCTCCAAGTCACAGTCGACAGTATCCTCACTCGCCGCCGCCGCTGCCATCGACCCACCGCAGCTCGTCGGGATCGGCGTATGTGGGGAAAGAACGTAGCCGTTGTTCGCTCGCCAGTCCCTGCTCAGAATCCGTGTAAACGACAGCATCCGGCTCATCGGCGACCGGAACCCCTGACTCGCCGGCGACTCCGGCACCGCCCCCGCAGCCGCCGAAGAAGACTCTTCCCCAAAATTCCTCAAGGGAACCTCGATCCCCAGATCTCCCCTAAATTTCCGTCCACCAACCGACGCGGAAGGCCCAATTTCAAGATCCCGCGTCGAATCGCACAGCTCGACCATCTCCACCGCCGGGACCGGCTCCACCGGCGAGCGGCAGAGCGGGCAGGTCGAGTGGGAATGGAACCACATATCAATACACTCCGTGTGAAAACTATGCCCACATTTCGGCAGCGTCCGGCCGGCCTCCTTCTCCTCGAATTCCGACAAGCAGACGGCGCACTCCATCAACTCCGGCGCCGCCGTGTCGGCGGCGGAGGAGTAGACGAACACCGGGAGCGATTTCAGGACGGCGGCGTCCAGCCCGCGAGACTGCGCCGGGTTGGAGGCCGCCGCCTGGTCGACGTAGAAGACGAGGTTCTGGCGGCGGCTGCGGCGGCGCATCTGGCGCCGGCGCGCGCGGAGGAGGTACCAGCGGGCGTAGAGGTGGAGGCAGATCATGAGGATGACGACGAAGAAGAGGACGACGATCGCGCTCAGCATGATCTTCCCGCTGAGCGCGTAGCTCCGATCGGAGAACGAGGTTCTCGAGCCTGGCGAATCCATTGCTCGATCTCGCCTCAAAGTTCGAACTCAGAGTGTGGTGGATTGTTCCGCGGCAGAAAAAGTTTTGCGAATTGGGGAAACGTGGGAGTGAGGGTGTGGTTATGGTGGGAAGGGGAAAGTGAGTGGGGAATATTTTGGTTAAGTAATGGGAAAAGAGTTGAGCTTGAGAGGAAGAAGGAGAGGAAAGTTCTTTATGGGCTGCTGTAGTGGAGAATTATTGAGAAGGGTCGGGACTCGGGCGCCATGTTTGACGCGGAAATGCTTATTCTACTTATCTCCTTGATTTTCTCTTTCTCCACATCTTTGGGTTGTGATTACAAAAATATCCCTGCCATGTGAAATGGTGAGTTTGTTGTGGGCTTGTGGGCTTGCAAGCTTGGGCATTGGGTTTCATATAAACGAAACCTAAGAAAACTTCTTTTCATCTTGGACTCTGAAGTGTAGCGTTGTAGAGCCCACAATAAATGGATCTGACCTAGACCATTCATGCAGCCCAAATATCTGAAATGCGAGAACGAGTTGCGTTATGGGCTTGAAAGCCTAACTACCAAGCCAGACTTCGCATATAAGTCCAACCCAACAGCTGATATGCATGCATCCTTTAACACCATTGAACCATCCACAGACCACAATGGTGGAGGGTGGAAGGGGAAATTGGAGTATTTCTCCTGTTTTACTGCAACACACAAAAGAGTTTCAATGGAATAGAGAGACAAGGAGAAATATTGAACGAGAGCTAGCCAAGTTGTTTGATCTTTGTTTTTGGCAAATTGTGCAATTAATTTTTTAGTAGCATTTGAGTTGGTCGAATTCGTATGAGTTCAAATTAACCAATTTGTGTGGTTCTTCGACAGTTCGACTATATAGTCCTTGAGATAAGTCATACGCGAGTGTCACTGTCGAAAAAAATGAAAGAGAAATTGAATTTTTAGGCGAATTAAATTAGTGTTGATTTCTTCATTTTTTACTTGGATAATTCAATCATTATTTTCATATATTTAGTGTTGCATTTAGTGTCAATGTGTTTGATTGCTTACCCTCGCAAAGAGACAAAAATATAGGGTGGGGGAAAACTAAGGAAAATTAGAGAGACCAATAATTTTTCCCTTGTTCATGAGTTTTGCTACATTAAGAAGGGGTGATTATTGGGGGAAAGGTATTGTAGCAACTCCCCCAATTTGGGGAAACTCCATTTGCTCTTGTTGAGTTGGTTTGTCTCTCTTTCCCTTTAAAATGGAGCACCATTTTCTCTCAATATTTCACTATACTCAAATTTTCACTCTTTCTAAACTTTTCTTTCGCTCTCTAAGTTTCTCCATCTATTTCACTAATGTTATAAACGCGCTGCTACAGATCGGGAAATCGCTAGAATCGACAAAGCAAGAATACGAAAGTGAGAATCGAAAAACACAGACACACGATTTACGTGGTTCACTAACACGATGTGTGTTAGCTACGTCCACGGGCGAGAGAGAGCCAGTTTCACTATATCAAGGAGATTACATATTACAGAGGAGTATGAGAAGTATTTATAGTACTTCTCCATGTGGGTCTAAACCTAATCTAATATGTCAAAGGAAACGGTTACAGACCAGGCCCATAACCCGAACCCAAATAACATTAAACCCCCGATTACCAGTCGTAGCGGCTGATAATCCGATTGAAGTCACATCAACAAATCTCCACCTTGACTTGAATCCTCTTCCTCTGAAATCTCTGATGTACTCTGCTCCTTCTCTCTCTCGCCATCAATGCCCCGTAGGGCGGAGTCACCCACTCAAGACATTCAGCAAGTCCAAGCAGTGTTGGAACTTGCCATGTGGAACCGGCTTCGTGAACTTATCAGCAGGATTATCCACGGTGCCAACCTTCTTCACCTTAATCCTCTTCTCTGTCCTCAAGAAATGATACCTCACATCGATGTGCTTAGTCCTCTCATGGTGGACTTGATACTTGGCCAAGCATATTGCACTCAAACTGTCGCAATACACCACTGCCTGATCATGATGTAGACCCAGATCACCAACCAGTCCCTTCAACCATATTCCCTCCTTAGCAGCTTCTGTCAACGCCATATACTCTGCCAGATCATGATGTAGACCCCCGATTACCAGTCGTAGCGGCTGATAATCTGATTCAAGTCACATCAACAACTAGCTTAGAGAATATGTAAATGTTGTTAACATAAATGAAAAAAGTTAAAATCACAGAGCTATATGCATTTGATAAAATAAGTTATACTCGTTTTTAACACCAAAGTAAGGACACTCAATAAATGTAATCAACACAGACTTTTTTTTTATTTGATAACCCAGGAACATCAGCAACCCACATGCCACATGAGTGACAACGGAGCCTACTAAACCTGGGGGTACCTGCATACTAACCATCAAGGACTTTGTCCTGGCGCAGTGCCCGGCGTTGTGCTACCATTATCGGGGAGACTTCGTCTCCTGTACCAAGGGTGCCTCCAAGAACACCAAGAAGGTGGTACTGGGATTCGAACCTGGGACCTTGTCACATCCCAAACTCGAAACCCAGCCCTTTTACCAACTAGGCTGTCTTACCATCGGCCTCAACACCGGACTTTGACTATGTGATGAATACTAAATTTCAAACAATTGTCACTAATGTCACAAATAATAATTATACTTCTTAATCATAGATAAAACATTCCAAACATAACAAATATTGCGAATAAAAGATTCCAAACAATGTATAATTTATGAATGACAGTCTCTACATGGGCAACAAAACCCTTTAGATACATACGGTTTAATACGATCATTCAAGTTTAGGACCTCATACTCACGTCAATGATTGGTTACCATGGTAACCAAATTAACCGGTAGCATTCGATTAATTTGGTTTGGTTAATTTGGATAATTGGTTTGGTTTGGTTAAACAATTTAACTTATTTGGTTTAGGTGATTTGGTTTGGTTTCAACTCTGCAAACCAATGAAACCAATTAACTAATTAATGATACACCTAATATACAAAATTATTTATACTTCCATGCAACCAACCAAACCAAACTTTCATGATTCCCTATTTTATTTCCATTATACAAACCAAAGCATTATAGGTCAAAAATTAAATGGGTATACCCATTTACTAAACCAAAACATTTTGGACAGCTACTAGACTTTAGGATTACGTACAATACCATGACAGTCACCTCAAACTTTAAGTGTTTTGTTGGAGAGCTTTAACTTCCTGATGAGTGGTATTGGTATGTATTTAATATTTAAGTTAAGGGTTTGTTGTAAGCTAACTATATTAGGTACAGAGATGATGAATGATGTATTAACTTGAATGATAATGATAATCATGGATGATTAGTCTTATTATTATTGCTTATATATAATGATAGTTTATGATAGTAATAACATATGGTTATGTTCTATTCATTAACAGGATAATTGTTTTCATGTTATGTTATTTGGTTAATCCAATTGTCCGATTAACCAAACCAATTAAACTTTGGTTTGGTTAATTTGGTTTTGTGTTAATTTGGACGGTTTGGTTAAGATATTTTATTCTGTGATTAATAAAATTTAGACTTAATTGGTTTGGTTATTACCACGGTAACCATTTGAAACACCCTAAATTTTTAAATACCCCTATAAGCTGAAAGTCTGGTTGCACCACTAATTATCAAATTAACCACTTTTGTTCTTTCTCACAAGTTGTGATATATGTAGCTTTTTAGATAATCATTACATTAGTCAAACCTTAAACTCTAAAATAAGACCACAATATGCAATTACGCGGTACCAAATTATTCTAAAATAAGACCACAATATGGTCAAACAAACAATCAAATTCAATTCTAGCTGCTCAAATGACGCATATATTTTATTACAATGTTTGTTAAGCTGAGCGGTAGGTGGGAGATCCAGACATAACACAAGTTGTTATATATGTAAACGTCCTGTCTAGCTAGCTACCTACCACACTTGCATCCCTTATCTATCCCTGCCAGTAGCCTATATCATTATTCGATTCATCCCCCATTTCGGATAGAAGATATTAGCTAGCTAGCATGGTTCGTCTCTTTGATTTCAAGTCAGACAAGCACTTCGTTGCTTCCTCTGACAGAACTCATTCGAAAAACTCATTGGAGGAAAATAGTCAGTATCATTAGTTCTCGTGACGATGGCAGTGACGACGACGATGCAACTGCTGAGAGCCAACTGCAGGAGCACTGCTATGACGGGTTGCTGTTCTTTGATGGCCATGGGAAGATAGAGGGGCGAGAGGCGTTGACCAAGCTAGCCCAACACCTCACACGTCTACACTTGATGGTGAGCCCCGGAGGATACTGTTTCCAAGATGCGGCCGAGCTAGGTGAGTACAAGGACTTTGGGGTTCATTACCTGCGATTGAATGATTTGTTCGATTGGTCTCGTCATGGCGTTAATCTCGCCACGACCATCGTGTGGCCGCGATTGAAGTTGAAGTACGTCGTACCAAAGCAAGGGAACCCTTCGAGACCAGCCACCGTAGAGGGAGGAGTGAGCAAGGAGAAGTATGCCGAGTTGAAGACGTTGGTGAAAGAGAAGGACAAGGAGTTGGAGAAGTTGAGGGAGGAGATGGACGACGAGCTGCAGAAGCTGAGCGAAGAAAGAGATGAGGAGTTGCAAAACTTAAGGGAGGAGATGGAGAAAGAAAGTGAAGCGAAGAATGAAGAACTGAGGAAGTTGAGGAAAGAAAAGGATGAGGAGCTGCGAAAACTAATAAAGAAAAAAGACGGTGAACTGCAAGTGCTCAGAAAGGGAGGAAATGATGGAGAAACTTTGAAAAAAATGAGAAAGGAGAAGGATGAAGAACTGCGAAAGCTAAGGATCGAAATGGAGGAGGAGATGGAGAAGTTGAGTAGGCAGAAGGATGAAGCAACAGAGGATGTTGAAAAGGCGATGGAAGAAGAAACTATGAAGAAACTGAATGAGAAGGACGACGAACTTCGAAAGCTAAGAAAGGATAAGGACGAGGAGTTGCGAAAGCTATTACAAAAGAAAGAAATCAAATTGCAAACAATTAAAAAGGGGAAGGACGAGGAGCTGCAAAAGCTGAGGGACGAGATGGAAGAAGAGACAGAGAGGCTAATAAGGGTGAAGGACGAAGAAGTGGAAAAGATTGAAAATGAGAAAGTGGAGCTGCAAAAGTTACTAAAGAAGAAGGACGAAGAATTGAAGGCTCTTAAGAAGGTGAAGGATGGTGAAGCTATTTCGCAAAAGTTGCAGAAGGAAAAGGGCGAGGAATCTCAAAAACTAACTCGAGAAAAGGATGAGGATATGGAAAAACTACGAAGGAACAAAGATGAAGAAGAAAACAAGACAATTGAGAAGAAAGAAATCGACGACACATTACGACAGTTGGGCGAGAGAGATGATGAATTGCTGAAGCTAAGGCAGGAGGCTGATGAGATGGAGATCAAAATGAGGGAAAAGGAAGAGCAAGTGCAAGATTTGAGAAAGATGAAGGACTGTGACGAACTTGAAGAGCTTAGAGAAAAACTATCCTCAAGTTTAGCCGACACTGCACGCGTCAAGGAAGAACTAGAGCAATGCTGTGAGAATTCATGGTCGGATTCAGCTAGGAAAACTAAAATCTTCTTGGAGCTTCAGCTCTCAATGAACCAGGAGGAGTGGCAAATCCACTCAAGGCAAAGACGCCCTGTGCCACCAGAAACGTTCCGTTGTGAAGGCATCGATACTTACTCTGGGTACCGTTACTTTTACGTGCCCAAGATGAGGGATGGACAACTAAATCCATTTTGTGAAATAGCTTTATTGGTGAACGAGGAGATGACTGCAAGGTCGTTGCTGCCGCCATTGGTGTACGTCGAAACTCGCATTGTTGGGCAATTCGACGTGAACAATTGGTGGTTTACGAAAGCACTTCATCGCGAAGGTGGGGTGACAATGTTGGCGTACTATGACGGTCATCGGGATCACGTTCGGGTTAATACGCCGATGACAGAGAGACCGATTCGACTGCCGTATTCCAAGAATGAAGATGTTTATGCGGACCGAAGGTTTTTCTTTGTTAGTATGGGCAACGAAATCAGATTGGCCTTCGCCTATCGAGTATAGATCGACCATTGTGACTAGGATCAAATGTAATTTAATCTTCAGTTCGTAAATGTATTTTTTGTTGGATTGAAATTAAATATTTGAATCATGCAAGATTATTGTATCTCGAACCGTAACCTATAACCGCTTGTTGGTATAAATGCATGTACCAATATAACATTTTGGATCGGTGCAAATTTATAAGGTTAAATTGGGGTTAATACCTTAGTTTGGCCTGAACTATACACATACTTTCTACTTTGGCCCGTGGTATTGAAAATTGCTATATAGGCTTGAACTATGTAGCAAACATCCTCATTTGGCGCGGAGGCGGGTTTGACCGTCACATTAGACGGTCAAACCTATTGACCGTTAATCAATGTCCACCTCACCTGCCACGTCAGCTTTGAGGACATAAAAAATGATTATTTTTTATTTCTGAATTTTATTTTCTTTCGATTAATAAAAATAATAAATTTTAAAAATTAATTAAAAGAACGAAAAAGGGCCCGTTTTTAGCAAATGACAAGAAAACAAAATTCAGGAAAAAAAAATTATGTCCTCAAAGCTGACGTGGCAGGTGAGGTGGACATTGACTAACGGTCAACAAGTTTGACCGTTAAACCGTCTAATTTAACGGTCAAACCGCCTCCAGGCCAAATGAGGAAGTTTGCTACATAGTTCAGGCTAGAATTGCAATTTCCAATACCATAGGCCAAAGTAGAAAGTATGTGTATAGTTCGGGCCAAACTAAGGTATTAATCCGTTTAATTAATTTTTTAACATGCATTTCTCGACCTGTAATGTATAAGTATGATAATGCTATCTACTAAACGACACATTCCTTTTATTCTACAGAGGTGGTTAAGTAAGGTTTCATTTCGGTATGAACTTTCGATTTAGTCTCTCCATGGAGATGAAGCTGGCCATCTTGAACTCTAAAGTCTAGCCTGGAGCCTTAAATGGCTTAAAATCCAGACTTCAATTATGAGCCCAAGTTCCCAACCTAGCCCACGTTGATCCGTAAACACCATTGTTGACTTGTTGTGGTCTATGGAGATATTGGTAGCCTGGAAAGAAAATTAATTATAGTCGTTTATGATTGAATTTTCTTTTCTAAAATCTGATGAATATTTTACTGAAATTTTTAAATGAGCGTACCGCAAATCCAAACCAATCCAATTCATTGCCACGGTATTCCTCCAAGATGCACTTGTTAGAAATTGAACAGGAAAAATTAGGATTACCGAATCTGATTAAGTCGCGGACTAGGTCGTTCTCTTTAAGACGTTCGCGACACTGCCTCGTAATTCACACAGCAGACTATCAGTCGGTCGCCTCTGAGATAAAACAGTCATTCTAATTTGCTGCTCATCAATTTTGTGCGAAAACCGAAACTCTATGAATTCACTCCCTCTCTTGTGTTTCTGTTCTTTTGAAATGTGTTTACATATTCTGGAGCGTCTACTATTTATAGGTAGCAGAAAACCCGGAATACAATTTTTTCTGACAATTCCAAGAAAGCCACTGAACTTATTATCATGCGCGGTTTGACCAGAAAGAGGAGAACACAACAGTGCGAGTAAAAAAGGATGTGGAAATAGGGACACAACTTTTCTAGCACGCTTCCACTTGCCCCAAAATTTATTAATAGGAAAGAAGAAGAAGCCGACGGAGGAGTGTCCGGTGTCCCCTGCACTCTCCAGAGCAGTTCCGGCAAGGCAACGGCAGGCAGCTGCCGCTGCTGGTGCGCCATTAATCCTCTTCATTGACGCACAGTCTTTAAGGAAAGCTCACGAGAACTACCTCAGGAAAAAGAAAAAAAAAAGGATGCTTCTCTATCATTTGGACCGATGGTAAAATAAGTGATTTGATCAGTTGGTTCCTCTCTTTTTTATCTCTGTCTGCGACGGTGAATTCAGGGCACTGCGCTCCCGCGTTGTTTTGTCATTCGCCACTGTTCGATTGGAAGATATGCAATGCAATGTTAGGAAACGGTGCGGTCTGGTTCAGACGAGACTATATATACGGTTTATGGTCCAGACCGAGAGGCTGAAGTATAGACCACAGACCAGATCACAAACTATACGGTCCGGTACAGACCACGCATGTGCGGTCTGGTCTGGTCCAGATAGACCACACTCAACAAGAAATGAATAATTTTTTTAGTCAACCACACAAAAAATTGAACCAATAACTGAGAAAAATAATTGTTATTTTCCTTAACACATTAATCCTAACATTCATGAATAATTTGATACCTAAATCTTAGTACATAATAAAGATACAAAGTAAAAGCATCCCAACTTGCACCATAACGTCATAAACATTAACATAATGTCATATGGAGACACAATTATCTCTACTCTCTAGTTAAATGTGGTTGTGAATGAAGGAGGGACGAGATTCAAAAAACTAAAGTTGAGACTTGGGTGTCGTTGTGGGAGTTGAGAGAGTGGTCCAATGGGCTGTTACCACGTATTGACAAGTCGGTTGGGTCCACAGTTTGGTCCGGTAAACCGCGGTCTAGACCAGATCAGACCAAGAGATCAAAACATAAAATAATACAGACCATGGACCAGACCAGACCATACTTAACGATCTACGATCCGGACCAAACTATGCGGTACAGTTTGGATTACGGTTTTTCTAACGGTCTCATCTATTTTCCCGGCTCTAATGCAATCCACCCAATATCAATCCCACTAATTCTTCCCCTAGTAAATGTTTCCCTGCCACAATAATTCTGCTTCTGCCGCGTAATTACCTTTCCTTTAACTCATCACCATAATTCCTTCCATATCTCATGCCCATCCAGACAAGAGGGGCGTGCGTTATAATAAATACCCATCGCCATTAAAATAACTCAGTTACAGTCTTACACAGAAATTGGAACAGACAAGAAGAAGAAACCAAACCAACCGTTGGATAAATAAATATAAAACGACCCTCAGAGCTCAGTTCTAGCGAGTAGGGTTTTGTCAAGTTCCAAACCAACGGGCCATTCCTCCTTCCCTTGACCTTGAGCCACTCACCCGAAAGGCCGAAACCCATTATATAAAAGCTCTGCTCAAAAGGAGAGGGGAAAAAAAAAATAAAAGGGTAAAGCTAAAACAGAAAAATGGCAAGCAAAAGCAAATCCCCTGTTTTCCCCATGCCAACAGAGCCTCACCACTTCAGCGACTATGGCTTCGACCCTCAAATCGACTACTTCCAGGTAAAATCCATCATCACAATCACCCATTTCCACAAAGTCTCCATCTTTGTCAAAACCTTCGATTTTCCTACAGAGAAAATCCATTAACCAACGATTTCTCTTTCTTTGCTTTACTCTGTTTTCCCCAGTTCTTAGAAGAAGCGAAGAAGCACAAGCTCAACTCCACCACCGCAGCAAATTCCATCGACACGCTGCACTTCAAGCTCCAGAAGCCCCTCTCCAGAGACGAATCCCTGAAGGCGACCCGGTCCAACAAGGCGAAGATCAAGAAGCGGTGGTGGAAGAACGCGCTGGTCTTCTTCAAGCTGAAATGGGCTCACACCAATCCCAAATTTGAAGCCTTTGAAGCAGAGGAAGGAGAAGGAGATGATGTTCACAGAGCCAGGGCTCGAGCTCTCCGTGCGACGATGTCGGGACCCGTTTATTACATAACCGAGAGCCGGAGCGGGTCGAACACGCCGTACCGGACGACGACGAGCCGGCCTGCCTCCGGCCCGCTCGCCGGATCTCTGTCGCCGGCGGTCAAAGGGGACATCGATTTGCCGTATGTGAGCCTCAGGGAGCTTAATATGGAGCGGCAGCAGCAGAGGATGTCTACCTCTGCCTTGCCCATTTACTTGGTCACTTGAAAAATGCTGAATCGGTTTCAATTGGGAAGCGTAGATTAGTTTCTTTCCAAGATTGGTGCCCAGTTTTCCCCCTTTTTTATGGTGGGGGAAAGGGGGAAGTTATAAATTGCTGTCGCCATAGCCTTTTCCCTTTCCTCTGTTTTTCTGGGTTCCTTCTGAAATTGCTTAGGTTGAAGGAGAAAAGGGTGTTTGATTAATTTTTTTTACCTTTCGTGGAGGATGACTGAATCATCAATCTCCATTTCTATGCTATCTTTTTACCTTTTTCACTAAGTAGTGATGAGAATGGTTTGTTGTTAGTTGGTAATGGTGATGAATGATCATAGTGTGTGAAATTTGTGCCTAAAGGCACCAACTTTGGTGGTGGTGTGGTGGTAAATCTTTTTATCTATTTGTTTGTCTATGTTCACTATATTATCTTGGAAATTATCATAAAGTGAAATGGTTTTTTCGGGGATGAAGCACAATTTGCAACACTATAATTGAAACGAATGACGATTGTAGTACAGTCGAATGATATGAAACGATAGGATGATGACCTTGAATTACTTCATTTTCAGAGGCTTTCACTCTTCTCTTTAATGTTGGGATAGTGTAGTTGTTGGAAATTGGTTGTTAGGTAATTGTTAATTATCTATTTCTGATGGGGCATGTGACCACTTTGTTAATGGAGGATTTGATGGATCTTATGAAGAGTAATCTCATTTGTTTTCATATTCTTAAATCTTCAATTCAAACGTACCTATGATATATTTGCTGAATATTTTGAAATCTACAACGGTCCTAGATGATAAATTATTAGGTGTGATTTTGTCAGCTAGTGTGCAAATTACATTATATGGGTACGGTCAGCAGAATCAAGCTGGATTTGGTTCCCCCATTTTGCCTTGCCTTATTGTAGGGTCCTTCACAACTAACCGACGAAAGGAGAGCCTAACTACCTAAAAGAGAAAAGTTCCATTAAGCTAGGATCAAGAACTTTGTTAGTTTAAGCAATGCCATTGCTCCCTTTAATGATACACTTTTTGATCAAGTTAGATTAGCCACTCATTATGTCCTCTAACATAAGAGTACAACATACCCCATTAGACCAAAATCAATCTTGAGCATCCATAACTCGAAGTACTTGCCTATACAAACCAATATAAAGAGTGTACTTCGAGAACCGAAAGATAATTCCCGAGCAGTATATTCGCGATGAGCGCATCATATGTGAGTGACATAAGTTTGAACATGATGATTGAGTAATAAGAAACTATAAGTACGATATTAAGCGACGTCTATCCAAATTCCCAAGCATGATGGACATGCATCGCCAGCGGGCAGAGGGAGCCTTTGAGGAGAGGACCCGACTTAGCAAAAAATTGAGTATCAAACTCTTTAAATGTATACGTTTTAGCATGATTTTTGAAATGTAGGACCCCATACTTTTGCCGATACTACCTCACGTATGTATCCCAATTAACTCGAAATTTTTAAGGACTCCGGTCCATTCAAAGTCTAACTAGCATAGCCCTCACAAAATACCGTGCTATCTTTGCCAAGTGATTTTGGGCAGCGGTTCCCCATCACTTCACAAACTGAAGAGAAGCACGTTGTTGTTTTGCAACTGGCAGAGACGGGAAAGCAACATAGATCAAGCAAGCTAAGAAGCGTCGGTTTCCACAGAAAGGGATGGCGTGGGAGAGCAAGGGGAAATAAAAAAAGGCTCCAAAACAAGGAGCGGCGTTTGCCATGTGCAGCCGCTGCAGCAGAAGAAGCATTTGTTAGCCTGTTCCATTAATTTCTCCACCCGTTTCGCCATCTTTATATGGCCGTTTTCTTTTGTCATTTTGCTTGCTTTAAACCTCCATTTGCAGGGAGCGGCTGCATCTGATGGAAGTCGTTTTCTCGTCCAGTGTCAAAGTGGTCACACGATAGAGAAGTTGCCCACCCTGACTACTATGTATCTGGCTCTCATCATCCACACTAGCTGTCTCGATGTGTGTAATCAGTTGGGGAATCAGATATGTAGTGAGAGATGGACAATTTTGATCTCATCGGTTTTATTCGATCTGTTTGGCTTTGTTTTGAATGCGCTACACTGCTCATTTCTCTTGAGCTTGGCATACAATACATGATGTTGATTAATCGATAAGCAGACATAAAGTGCATAACATGGTGTTTACGTACATCTATTCCATCCAAACAAGAAAGTAAGATCCGAGTTTACAAGAGCACTTTTACTCGATTCATTTCAGAATTCAACATGCACTAACACCTCCTGTTAGTGTTGTGGTATATGATCCACGATTGAACTTCTCCCAACAACTCGAGTTATTGGGAACAACTGGTTCTTAATACCTCCCACTGTAAGCCAATAGAGTGACTTGGTCTTTATCCTTTTTTGTGGGTTGACTGTGTACGTCTTGATTGTTGGTGAAGGGAGGGATAGAGAATTCGAGGGCACGGCACAATATGCAACATTGCAACTGCAGGGGCGGACCCAGGGAGGTTTAGGGGTGTCCCCGGACACCCCCTAAATTTTGGGAAAATGATTATTCAACCCCCGATAGTAATTTACGTATGGACAAAAAAAACAAATGATAGCGAGGGACACCCTTAAATTTGAAAAATGATTATCCTTCTGTCATTTGTGTATAGGAATATAAGTGGTAGGTTGGATAATTCAAATCTAGAACACTATTATTATTAATAAACTTAATTTCCGTTGAGCTAAACTCATTTGTTGTTCGATTTTGAACAATGCGAGTAAAATGGCATTCCCTATCTCTAATTATTTTAAAAACCTAACAATTAAACTAATTTCAAACTACCCTTAATTTGTATTGATTTTATGATTGTATGGCAAGTGTTGAAAGAGTCTTTTTGCTTTGGGTTACATCAAGAACAAGTTTACAAATCGAATATGCGATAAGTTCGTGAATGATTGTCTAGTAGTGTATATAGAGACAATTTTTTTTTAACACTATAGACACCAAGTGTATTCTACAATTGTTTCCGAATATGAAAACATATCATGGACTTTTTTAACCCTATACGAGTAAGGTATTTTCATATTTACAATTTTATTGTTATTAATTATTTTTATTTTATTTATTTTTTAAAAGAGGACAAAAAATTTCTGGGTCCGCCACTTATTACAAGTTGGCCGAATCTTTTAATGACGACACTGGCCGGGAATATAAACTTGCGCGGTGAGCAGTCAGTTCAGTACTGAAAATGCTGATGAGCCAAATCGAATATCGTTTGATCGTATTGAACTACTGAAGGGGAAAAGGTCAATCATCGGATCCCATTTTCCAGCCATGTTCTGGCGCCTGGAGGTGAAGTACTAAAATGGATCCTGTAGATTCGTACGAGAGATTGAGATTCAGGGTATTGTAAAAATAATACTGTATGAAAATGTATATAAAATAGGTGCCTACAAGAAATGTATATAAAATAAGATTGAGGGTATTAATGACTGATTGGTTAAGTTGGGATTGATTGCTGAACTTTTCGATAATGAAGTTCAGTTTAGACTTTAGATGAGTGGAGCATCTTCTTTCGGGACAAGCAAGGCGGGTTTCTTCTTTGGCCTGTGTTCCAAGGGGCTAAGATCTGGTGACTAAGGGGCATAGTTAGTAAATACTCCGTTTAATACACGTATATGTACCCGTACGTACTTTATCCGTTTAAAACTTCCGTATCCGTATTTTTGTCAAGCCGTTTCATTTTTGTCCGTTCATTTGGTGGCTCCCGTACTAAACGCGTATAAAATCCGTATAACACGTTTTATATCCGTATTTAATGAATTAAATTGTTAACTTTACTATTATTTATATATTTATTTATTTTAAAAAATAATTTATTTTATATATTTATGACTATTAACGTACTATTAAACGTAACATTAGCTTAGAAATGAAGTAAAATACCCGTACGTATTATATCCGTAACTTTCCCGTACCGTATTTTACTAACTATGCTAAGGGGGTCCCCTTAGTCACATGACTAAGTTGATCTCCACCCTTGCACCTCATTAAAATTCAAGGGCTCCTATTGATTCAATTTAATGAAGGACAATGTAGTAATTGCATATTTATTTTTAATTTTTAATTATAAAAGAAAAAAAAAACGCCAGCCGTCCCCGTCGCGTCGCCTGCGCGGCCAGGGAAATTCCTGGGGCGCCATTATTGGCAATGGGGAATTCCCCTTCCTGTACGCCCACGGCCATTGAGAGAGAGAGAGAGAGAGATTTGGTCGGAAACTTTTTCCGACGAACATCGTCGCCGGAGAAGAATTTCCCGGCGACAGTGCTAATTTTGTAATGTTTATTGACATATTTTGTAATGTTTGTATGCTTTGTTATTTTGTAATGTTTGTCGGGTTTTTTTGTAATGTTTGTAAACTTTGTTATTTTTGTTAACCATGTTTGTAAACTTTGTCATTTTTGTGCACCATGTTCGTAATGTTTTTTATGTCTAAAAAACACCCTGGTTGACTTTGGGAAGGAGCCCCTCTATATAGGGATGGAGCCTCCAAAGTCAACCCGGGTGTTTTTTCTTTTTGTATGGTTTGTATTGTTTGTCGGTCTAGTTTGTATTGTTTGTATAGTTCATACGTTTGTAATGTTTGTATGTTTTGTCGCTCTAGTTTGTACTGTTCGTATGTTTGTATGGTTTGTACTGATTGTAAATCCGGTTTGTATACTTCGTAATTTTCCATAATACCCAAACTACCCCTGTCATTAATTAAATAGCCCTTCCCACTTTTTAACCATTAGATTGAAGTGTCCATATCTAAGGGCTGGGAGGGGCTTAGTCAAGTGACTAAGCACCCCCCCTTAGTCACCAGATCCGCTCTCTGTGTTCCAAGAGATGCAAAGAAAGTTGCTCACCATGGCCCATATCTACTTGGGCTGGGTCCAAACTCTGTTATGGCTGTACAGACCACATGTTGCTTTAGTTGATCTTTGTGTTGAATTAGGGCGGCAAATGAGCCAAGCGGCTCGGCTTTCGACTCGGGAAAAAACTCGTTTGAAACTTCGCTCGTTTACTAAAAAGTCGAGTTTGAGCTAAGCCTTGTGCAGTTCGTGGAGCACGCGAGCTAGCTCAACTCATTAGCTTGTTAAGCTTAACTCGTGAGCTGACTCGTTTAGAGCTCACGAGATGTCTCAACTCTCAACATTGTGGCTAGATAGCCAACTCAATTACCAACTTATGAGTGAACCGATCTGTATGAGTTTAATTTTGATAATTTATAGGATTGTTAAATTATATATCTCACCCTATATGAAGTTTAACACGTAGATTAAGCGAGCAAATATGTCTTATTTAATTTTAAAAAGAAAATTATCTATCATAGATTGCTTCGATACTATGATATAACATAATTTTGACTAGTTAAAATCTATTAACTAAATAATATGATACCACAAAATATAACACGAGATTAGTTAATATTGAACACTTAACTATTATTATTATTATTATTTTCATCTTGCCATTAATCACATGTATCATACATGACATACAAAATGAATATATCAAATACGAGTCAAGATTTTAGTAACCAAGCTACCTCGAACTCGACTCGGCTCGTTAATCAACGAGCAGAGCTCGAGCTCAACTCGTTTATTAACGACTCGAGCTCAAACTGGTATAAAACTCGGTTCGGTTTGGTTCATTTGCAGCCCTATGTTAAATTATGCAATGGGTTACTGTCTACTCAGCGTGTATAAAAAAAAGTTACCGAGCCATTCTTCTGGTCGTTTGGATCGGGTAATGTGATGATTGACTTCAAATAACTCGTTTAGAAGGAAAAATATGAAACATTTTGTAGATCTTATTCTCTAAATACCACAAATATGATATTGGATAAGTATTAGGATGAAGGTTGACATCTCCAAATTAGGGTTGAAATGAGCCAAACTACTCACTAGCAATTCAACATATGGTTCGGAGAAAACTCGTTCTACACTCAGCTCGTCACTAACGATCAACGTTTGAGCGGAGCCTTGTTCGGCTCGCAAAGCTCTTGAGCCAGCTCTACTAGGTGGCTTGTTGAGCTCAAACCGTGAGCTAGCTCGTTTTGAGCTATGAGCTGGCTCGACGGTATGGCTAGCGAGCCACATCAACTAGCAACTTAAGAGCCAAGGTCAATAACTTATCATTGGCTTGTTGATAATTCATAGGTTTGTGAGATCATAGGCGGAGGGAGAGAGTTCGGTATGTGTCCCAGGACACAGGTAATTTTGGTAAAAAATTAATATATCCCTATATATATTTGTGTAAGGAACAAAATATTCAAATTCATCACATTTATATAGTATAAAAAGTATTTACCATTACAACAAACCTCAAGTTTTGTTATCTGATTGATACAAAATTAATTTATATGCTATAAATGGAATCTTCAATTGAAATAAATCTCTATTTGAGTTATTTTTTCTCAATTATCATATTAAATTTTGTCCAAGAACTATGAAGTCTAATAGAAGCCTCTCCTACTAGGCTCTCTCTTTTCTAGTCCGCTAGTTTCCATTAAATTTTAATTATTAAATAATTATTTATATGTTTATATTTTAAAAAAGGACACACCTAGTTTTACAACCTGGCTCTGCCACTATGTGAGATTATATATCTCACCACATATTATGTTTAAGAATTTGAGCACCTAATAAAAAATGTTTCATACATAATTTAAAAGAGAAATTATATATAAGAGATTCTCATATACTAATTTCTATTAAATAACATGACATAAAAAATTAATAATTATGAAGTAAATGATATGATACCTTAGTTTTTGAGCCAATATCGTTAGCTAATTGATAAGCCGAACTCAAGCAGAGCCCAACCTTAATAAAAAGTCGACCCAACTCCGCTCATTTCATTTGCAACCATACTTCAAATAAGAGGCTATTGTCCTTTTTCTTCCAATTATGTCATCTTTTTTTTAACCCAAACTACCCTCTCCTTAGTTGTCCTACCTTTTGTCTTTCCCTCCCCAATTTTCCCCATAACCATTGTTTAGTTGTCCTTCTTACATTAATTATGAACACACTATACAGGTTTATCATTATAAAAAACAATAACATAATGTAAAGAATAAAGACTAGAAAATCTCATTAGCCTCTTACAAATTAGTTTCTACCTTAAAGTTAAACATGTTGCATAAGTGCGCTGGAAAATGGAAAATGGTGTTTGCTTTTGAGCTTTTTCCGATTCCTTTCTTATGGATTTGGGCTGGACTCCAAAAGTAAGAGGCCCACTTTACCATTAGTCTAGACTAAGTAAGGAATCTGGACCAACCACCCTAATTGCTTATTATATAACTGCCTCCACTCATGATCCACGATTCGATCCAGAAAAAAGCCCGCCATTGACTTCCAAACCTCACCGGCCACCGCTTCCAACCACCACGTGGCGGCACCCGATTGGACGCTGCCCAGCAGTTGTTCCCCGAGAAAATCTGTTATGCCGGCCGGCGACAACAACTCTTTTCCGGGATCAGTAGCCATCGCTCTCGCAGCCATTATAATTCCGATCCTCCTCAGCATTTTCGCCCGGAATCCCCCAATTTCTCGGCGACCAAGCAATCCCAATCTCACAGTGAAAGACCCTACCACCGCCGCTGACATGGACGGGATTCGGCACAGGACTTTGACCCTCAACGGGATAAACGTCCACGTGGCGGAGTCGGGCCCCGCCGACGGCCCCGTCGTCCTCTTCGTCCACGGATTCCCGGAGCTCTGGTACTGCTGGCGCCACCAGATGGCCGCCGTGGCCTCCCACGGCTACCGCGCGGTGGCGCCGGATCTGCGAGGGTTCGGCGACACCGACGCGCCGGCCGATCCCGCGAGCTACACGGCGTTCCACGTTGTCGGCGACCTCGTGGCGCTGATCGACGCGGTGGCGCCGGAGGGGCAGAAGGTTTTCGTCGTCGCCCACGATTGGGGAGCTTACATGGCTTGGTATCTGTGCCTTTTCAGGCCCGATAAGGTCAAGGCGCTGGTCAACATGAGTGTTCTATTCAATCCCCGGAGCCCAAATCGGAAGCCTCTTCCGTCGTTGAAGGCTTTCTTGGGCGATGATTACTACGTTTGCAGGTTTCAGGTACTGTTACTCTTGTTCTTCTTCTTCTGTTGCTGCTGCTGCTCTCTCTCTCTGAAATGTGGCGCCATTGATTGATTGCTGCTAGATTGATTATAAGACACTCGCTCTTGATTCGTGTAGAGTTCAGTAATGGAGTCTGTAATTTAAGGGGTAAGATATGGTGATTGGTACAGTGTGTTCTCGGTTTCAATTCGATGGTACCCACAAGGGCCACAACCCACTTGAAAGATTAGATAGTTCTGTAGTAACATTTCCTTGAATCAGGCAGCATTATTGAGGTCTTCAAATATTGATGTATCCATTCGTTCTGACAATTCGAGTTCTTCGTATTTCATCTGACTCTGATCGAGGAAAATGGGTGCGAACTTTGGTTGGTTTGATCTGTTCAGGAGCCGGGAGTGATAGAAGCAGAATTTGCAGAGCTAGGTACAGAGAGGGTTCTGAAGGAGTTCTTTGCTTACCACACCCCAGCTCCTCTCTACATGCCTAAGAGCAAGCCATTCGGCCACTCGCCGGACGTGCAAATCGCACTGCCACCTTGGCTGTCGGAGGAAGATCTCAAGTACTACATCGACAAGTTCGAGAAGACGGGCTTCACCGGAGGATTGAACTATTACCGGAACATCGACAGGTAAAAATGGTCCAACAGTGTGTTGTTTATGTTCATTCCAAATCTTCTGCTATAGTTCTATTGAATTTGGGGCTTGTTTCTTTGCTGCAGGAACTGGGAACTGACTGCGCCGTGGCAAGGGGACCAAGTGAAAGTGCCGGTGAAGTTCATCGTCGGAGATCAGGACCTTACCTATAACACTGGGAACGCCAGAGACTACATTGGCAAAGGGGGGTTCAAGAGGGACGTTCCGTTTCTGCAGGAAGTGGTGGTGATGCCTGGCGTCGGCCATTTTCTCAACGAAGAGAGGGCCGACGAGATCAACAGCCACATTGTCGAATTCATTCGCAAGTTCTGATCTGATTCTTCCGTCGGTGATCTGAAATCTGAATCGTGTTCTTGTTGTGTATACTACCTGAAACGTGTTCAGTGTGGTTGAAAGCTTGTTGGCAATCCAACGCCTCGGTTGTGAAAAAAACATCTGTAACTTGCGGGTACAGAATGTGATGTCTTTACTTGCAAGCAAAGTATGCATATAAATAAAGGAATCTACATGTGTTCACAGAAATCTCTTCTTCTAATCCCTTTTGCAGGGAAACATTGATCAATTGCTTTCGTGACCCACGTTCTGATTCCGCCTAATAATCGCAAACTTTGCCACACAGAACTGAGTTAGCAGGTCCTTATCAATTGTACCTGAAAAAATTGGAGATGCCGTCCGGCATCAAGTTTCTTCATCGGAAAGTAGTGATACTAGCTGTTGACGGCAATTATAATGCCCAATCTTGCTCGTGATCACCAGCATTTTCTCAGCGTCCAAACATTCTTCCTGCTACACAGACCCAGCCAGCGGGCCCAGGATCCTCTTCCTCCAAAGGAACGGGTTGTGATGGAAGGCGTTGGCCATTTCTTCGCAGCAACCACATCGTCGACTTCATTCGCAAGTTCTGGTTTTATCCTCCCAAAATGGTAGACGAATAAGGTTATTACACAAAGCAAACGATTCATCGACAGACAATACAATGCGTTCGTTTTTCTTGTTATACAAGCAAATGATGAATAATTGTTCTTATGTTCCAGACTTTGCAAATGTAGCTAATTTGACAGCCATAGTTCAGCCATCGTCTGCAATCGTATCCGAGGTGAACAAAATTAGGAAGATATTTGCTTCATGATCAAGGCTTTCACCATGGTTCTTTCCCTGTTTATTGTGTGGATGTTCTATGATTCAAACATCTTCTCAGGTTGGAAATTCACCCACACTGTTCTTCTCTAGAGATTCAAGATGCTGCAGAAGAGACATACTTGACAGAGCAGGCAGCAATTTGCCTGCCAGACAGACACTATGGAGGGGAGGTGATGGTGATCAATTTCCGGGCCTCTTGCGTTTCTCGCAGTTGAACTGGACATCAACTAGACCCGTTATTCCAGCAGTTACCTTCTGACCTGCTTTCACTGGGCTAACACCTGGAGGAGTGCCTGCCACAACCAGCAAAGGGCACCCATTTATTTCTGTAACTCATGTTAAAAGTATGCTGTCAGCATTTCGGGGGATAATAAGATAGCTAAAAAGTAAAAACTCTAAATTCAGGATGATAGACCACCAGCAACTTATTGGCAGATCTGGTATATATCAGACCAGAATCCTAGTGGCCTTTAATTAGAAGCTGAAAGGGAGATTGGCATAAGCACAAACATGGTTATAGAAACATGTTTCAAGTCTAATGAAGTGTGGGTGTAAGCATGTACTACTATGGACAAAGCTCAAGGACCAGGATCAAAAGAACACTAGACCAAAATAAGAAGATTACGATCCTCATTGACTGCTGCCTAAGCAATACACGACAGGTTATGAAGAGAACTTTCCAAAAAAGACATCTTGACAAACGTTGGGTTCAATAAAAAGGACCGAGTTGTAGCTCTTACTTCTTACGACCATGAAGTTTACCAAAGGGCATCTTGACAACAGTTTCACTAATTTTTTGTGAATCAAAGAATGAAGCGAAGAAAACGCTGAAAATACCTGTTAAAATGACATCTCCCTCGAAAAGGGTCATGATTGCACTTATGTAGCTGATGAGAAATGGGATCTTAAATATCATATCCTTTGTGGGCCCTTTCTGTCTTATCTCGTCGTCAACCTGGACTCAAAACACGAAGACAACTGCATCAGAAAGACCATTGACAAACCCTAAAGCAATCAGGAAAAGAAAATTGTTTCACACCTTCAACCATAGCTCCAAGTTATCAGGATCAGGTACAGCTGACTTGGGGAGCTGCACAAAGTTTATAGCGAAGAGGTCATTTTGATTAGCGAAGAGGTCATTTGGCTAAGCAAAATGAAATACAATCACAAACATAACAAAAGCAAGCCAGAAGATGAAATCGTAAGGAAACTGATGATTGTTCAGAAGAACACTAACAAATCCCTTTCCAACCTTGAATCAAATACTTCTATGATTATATCTATTCATACTATTAGCTAGAAGCTAGGCATTATTGCGCCCGTTACCATTCACAAACCGAAGAGTATATCAAAAGGTAGCAGCGAGTCGTGTATTTCACATTCATATAGCTAACTCCATGGCAATTTCACCTACTAAGACTTAAAAGATGCGAAACCATGGAGATTTCTTCATAGCTTACAATGGAACTGATAGGTGTGAATGTATCCTGCCCCTTGGCTACAGTCCATGGAAGTCCTGCTGACTGCAGAAACCAGAGAGAAACCATCGCAAAGGAACTTATCAGAAGACATTCAACAGTAAGAATTCAAATGGAACAAAGCAATTTTCTTCATCTCTACCTTGGCAGAAGCTTGGATTTCTCTTGCAGTCATATCCAGCGCAAGAGCATAACCTGAGAGAAAGCAATACCTCATATGATCAGAGTCTCTCTCGCCATAAACCAAACTCCGAATTTCACAGAGACGGAAAGAACTCGCATCAAACCTCCAATGTAATCCATGGCGGAAGCCTCCGGCACATCGCGAGCTTTCCTGCCGATGACGACGGCGAGCTCCACCTCGTGATGCAGCGATTCGAGAGGATGCGGGATCAAGATCGTGCCTCCGTTGTCCAAGTAGGAGGATGTAGGTTTCAGGAACAGCACCGGCTCCTGCGAAGCGAGAAACGGGAAAAGGCTCGAGCGAGGTGCCGATTAGCTGGCCGACGGGAGAGCGAGTAAAAATTTGAGCTAAAGAGGGGGGAAGGAATTCAGTTAGAGACCTTGGGGACGGCGTTGCCGAGTTCTTTGGCGTGAGCGGCGTAGTTGCGGCCGACGCCGACGATCTTCGTGCCGACTTGCAGTAGCTTCTGCATTCCCAACGCTGCCGTCGCCATTTCCGCCTTTCGCTTCGCTCCAACGATTTCAGAATTCAGATGCTTCCTTGTCTGTTATTTTGATTTTTGACACATCATCAGCCGTCAACTCTGATGGCCTTCCCAAATCGACATTGAAACGCACCGTTTTTGTAGACTGGAAATGGGGTAATCACTAATTACGATTAGGATTTAGGAGCGTTTTTTTTACTGTTGAGACTTGACTCTTGTGAGAGGGTGTTTATGCTAACAAATACATAATTTTCTAGTGACCAGTTCTATTCCAGCTAATAACATGAAGAAAATAACCTTATAACAAGTAATAATGATGAAGACAAAATGATCAATGTGACCTTTGAACTTTCTTAGATTACAATTCAGTACATAAAACAAAATATTGGACCAAACTTGTATATGAAATTTTCTTTTTAATCATTTCAATACACTAACCCCTTTTTAATTAGAGCTAATTGTATCACGTCATATGTAATACTAGAAGATAGCAAGTAAAGAAAAGGTGCTGCTTATTAAATAAGATTATTATTATTGTACAACATTACAAGTTTTGCCCTCCATGCTGCACTTTCTGCAAGTAACTTGGAGCTTTAAAGGGCGAGGCAAGAGCGAGTGTTAATAGTAAGGAGCAAGCCGAGTGATCTAGGGAAGCAGAAGAAGTGCAAACCAGTCTCTAATCATCTAAGCTGCAAGATGAACAGCTCAGGTTTCTCAATCAGGCGTTTCCACTCGGAGCAAAATCTCGCGACCGTAGCCCCATCCAGAACTCTGTGATCTGCTCCTATATTCACCTGGAACAACAGTGGAGAGCCGGCATGAAACCCTTAAACCACGCTACAGACATGAATCGGCCAATGAAATTGTACATTAACAAATGGTGTTTAATCAGCTTACGGTCATGATCGATGCAGGGTAGACATTCCCCTTTTCGTCGAAATGAGGAACTTTCTGGATTCGTCCCATTGCAATGATGGCAACTTCAGGCAAGTTAAGGAGGGGAGAGCCGAACTTCCCACCGATTGCACCAATGTTGCTCAGAGTCACCGTTCCACCTGTTATGTCTTCGGGGCTAAGCTTGTTAGCCAATGCAAGCTGTTGCAGGCGAGCGAGTTCCATGGTTATCTGCATCCAACCATTTCAACAAATTTAATTACAGCTTCTCTGTTGTCGACCTTGCTTATACACCAACCCTGGCAAAAACTAGTTCGTTGTAAAAGGAAAATGGATCACTTGATTCGATAAGTACAGTTTTATACGATATATTTCCATGGCAATTCAGTTTAGAATAGTTCGGTTTCAAGGCACAGTGAAAACTTTCTGACTAGTGACTTTGAGGCCAACCAGTCAGCAAAGAGGAAGAAATGACGGGACACAAACCTCGAGGATTGAAAGGGACTGAACATTCTTAATGTTTGGTACCACTAGACCGGATGGAGTAGCCATGGCAATTCCAATATTGTGTGAACCTAATGTGCCAGTGGCAATTATGAAAAACAATAAGTTAGTAGTAGAGATTGTCAGGAGACAGGAGTCTAAGAATTTCAATTGAAAGGAACTACACACTACTTCACAGCACATCCATTAAGCTTAACCTAGTGAAATAGCACACTGTATTTCCCTCAGTAGTCGAACAAGTTGCCACGAGATCAAAATTTGCAGAAGCCAAACAACAACAGTGATTTCTGAGAAGGATAGGATCAATCAACCTTTTAGTACGACCTCCATAGCATCCTCGTTGAAGGAACTATTCACCAAAGGGTACAGGCTTAGGGCTGACGAAAGGGCCTTGATTAATAGTGGAAGGAAGGTATGCTTAACTCCTGGATCGGTTGTTTGCTTCTGGAAAGATGCTTTCAGTTCCACTAATGCATCACACTTGATATCTTCCACGAAATAAAAATGTGGAACTTTGGCAGCCATAGACATTGTTTTCACCATTGCCCTCTGGAAGCCCCTGAAGAGGGGGAAAACCAAAGGGGATTTACTACAATATTGACTGATTCTTACCTATCCATACCAGTGAAAACTAGGTGAATTCAGACATTACCTTAGGGTAACCTTCTTATCACTGGGATTCTCAATGACTTGAACTGATCCGAGTTCGTCCTGAAGCTGGTCACCCAAAGGAATCCCTGAAGACTCGATGATTCCTTTCTGAGCAGCATATTTAAGAATGTCTTCTTTCAGCACCCTCCCTGATTTCCCAGATCCTTGAATACCACTCAGACTGATACCATACTGTTTAGCAAGATGCCTCACCGCTGGTGTGCACAAAACTCCACCACTTCCAGTTGTGTTCAAATCAGCACCAGATGACAACTCACCATCGAGATTCCCACTCACCTTAATCGGAACCTGGGAGTCAACTGACTGCACAGGAGCCTGCGATTCGTCCACCACCATCTTGAGAAGAGTCTCCCCAACCTGCAATAGAGTTTTCCCCATGTGTTTAGGGATCACACTACCGACATGAAAAAACAGAACAGCCGTCTCAAGAACCCACCATGGAACTGTGCTACAACACTTGCTCAACAGAATGGTTATAGTTCCCAAGAATAGCTTTGTCAAATATATCAAAGCCTACTTGAAGGTCTCCAACTTCAATTTGGAGACTGCAACAAGCCAGAGTGGCCTTTTTGCATTCACAGACAACCAATCACAATGCGCAGCAAGCAAGTTTTACTACGAAAATCGGCTCGATTAAAGGCGAGCCATTCAAGTAAAGAACTTCTCACCTTCACAATATCTCCAGGAACATAGAGCATCCGAGAGACTCTTCCTTTATAACGGCTTGTGATTTCAATGGTGGCCTTGTCACTCTGAACTTCACAGAGCGGCTGAAACTCGTCAACTTCATCCCCCTGGAGAGCCAAACACTCATTCCAATCCAATTCAACAAATTTTGAAAGAGAGGGAAAAAAATGAAGCCGGCCGCAAAGAACCTGATCGATCACTCACCTCTTTAACAAACCACTGAAGCAATTCACATTCAGCGATACCTTCGCCGGTCTGCGCCAACGGCACATCGACGGTCCCATCCTCCGGGAGACCCGCCGCCGCGCTACCGGAAAAGCAACGGCGCTTCCACCGCCAACAAAGCAGGACAATCAAAATCAGTTCAAAATTCTCAACCAAACAAAAAAATTCCACCGGCACAGAAACAGAAACTCGATCAATCGAAGTAGCAAACTCACTCCGATGGAAACGCCTTCGCTGGAGGGAAACCCGGCCCCCGCGTGGCTGGGACGAGCGAGTCGGGACGACAGGTGACTAAGAAACGGAAGCCCGTGGTGGCCGGGGAAGGCCGCCGCGGCCGGAGGCGGAGAAAGAGGATTCTGAGCAGCGTGAGAGGTGAGGAAGCGGCGGCCGACCGCGGCCCATGCTCGCTTCCGATTGAGGATTCTGATCGGAATCATGATTGAGTTGAGAGAAGGAGCAGCTTCAGCTAAGTCTTTTAAGTTGTAACAGCTGCTGAAAACAAAAAAGAAAAACTCGCGGTTTTTGGGAAGAGTGGACTGTGGCAGTAGACTGCAGAGTTAATTATGACCAGAGTAGAGAATTAGGCAATTAGCTTCTTCTTTTTTTTTTTTTTTTTCATTTGTAGGAGGATTAGTTGTTGTGAAATGGAATAAGAAGGTGCCGTTTCATGGAGCTGAGCGGATGAAGAGCTTGCCGTTTCGGATTCCAGATCAGGTCAACAATTTTCATACTACTGTTATTATATGATAATGATATGACCTGGAGCTGGGTCACGGGCAGCAATGTGATATAATTCATAATTGAGAGTGAGTCAGGTCGATTTATATATATATTTTTAACATAGACATCCATAAAGATAGTAGTCAAGAGTCATACAAAGTACAAAAGTAAATCAAGTAGTTCGACAAAGTCAAGAGCAGGGGCGGACCCACCTTGTAGCAAGGTGTGTCACCCGACACACCTTGCTCCGAAATTTTTGTAAGGAACTCACATTTTTTCGGTGTAAAAAATTCGTACAAAGGACCTCCGACACACCTCCAATAATTATAATCGACACACCTTAACCTTATTACATTACAAAAAAGAAATATTGTGGTAATAGTATTAAAATATGTAAATATAGTAGTTATCGGATTTCATATTAGGTAGTTAATTAGTTGGTTGCACAAGAGTAAACAATTAATTGACTACTTACTACTTAGTGAGTATTCAGAAAGATAGCTATCACCTTACAGACAACCTCAATAAACTGAATGAGAATTAAATTGATTAATAATCTGGTTGAGTCACGTAATTAGATAGTGAATTTCATATAGTCTTTCCCCATAACTTCTTCCATGGATTCTTCTTAAGTTAACATTCTACTTGCTTTCCAGTTTAGCTATTTCTTTCTACGTTGACACCTGTCGCCACCGTCTGGTTGTCGACATCGAGCCGACGACATCCTCATTCTCATTCAAACTTACACATTGACGCTTGTGGCCACCCTTCCAGTATCTCATACCAGCTTTCTCATGTTAAATTAGTGTTGACTTTACATATTGCAACTGTAAGCTACAAAATTACATTTTTCATATATGAGTTTAATCGAGAAAAATCTTTGGTATAAGTTGAGTGATCAATTTATAAATAATTTTTTAGTTGTGTACATAAAAAATATATTTGATTTGCAACCTAATGAGCAAATGTAGTTAAGAAATTTTTCAGAATATGAAAACTCGTCGTGGTTCACTGGAAAAAATAATGAAATTGATGAACTTTATGAATACATTTTTTATATTTATTTTAAATTAATTAATTAAATCTTTTTTATTGGCCGACACACCTATACCAAAATCCTGGGTCCGCCACTGGTCAAGAGTCATACAAAGTACAAAAGTAAACCAGGTAGTATGACTGTTGTCGAACTACCTATGAGAGGGCCGTTAGTGCCACAAAAGGGCAGCCCTATAAGCAGGTAAACCTGCAAAATGGACAAACACATAGACTTGAAAAGAGCCGAAACTTCACAAACAAAAATAACCATGATCTCGAGTAGTCATCTTCTCCATTTCAAGATATTAGTCTCCAAAGATTCAGGCCACCAGTTGACAGATTACTGAGATTGTCACATGTCTCCTTTCGCCTTGGCTGCGAATTGACCAAGAAGTACACTGCAAAATGAACAAAATAATAGTCCAAAAAGGCAAGGCCAAAGAGCCGAGGAAGGCCAAGCAGGCCCAAGAGTGAAAAGCAACATGGGCTAGAGAAACTCATTAGTGATTTTTGCACCCACCACCTTATTAAAATTAAAACCAAGTGGAGGCATAAGCATGTCAAAGTCCCGGCTAATTGCTAAAGAGTTAAAAGCGAAACTCTTATCCACCAAAAAGAAGTACACTGACCAACACTAACGATAAACATTCATAGAAGCAAAGATTAATAATATTAAGGATACGTTAAGAGTATGATTTGGTATTTGGTCCCGTGAATTAATAAATTCGAAGAAAAATTAATCAAATTGACATGAGTCAAACGAAATCATATCAAAGCGAATTGCATGCATTATAGGTTTGGTTTTTTATCCTAAGATGTTTTTAACTCTTTAATCACGGCTCTTCAGAATTTAATTTTGTCCGACCGAATCAGTGTACGGGGTAATATGATTATTTGCAATTTTATTACAAGTGATGTAGTAAAAGTAGATACATAAAAGAAAACGTAGTAAAAGTATATTCTTAGACAATTTTAAGAAAATTCATATAAAATTTATATAAAACAAGTAACTAATAAAGCAGATCAAGTAGGACAACAAATTCGAAAGTCATCCCTAATAGTAATAACAAAAGCATTGTAGATATGTCATACCGTCCGCACTTAACTTTTTTAGTTGATCACCTCAGCGTTGAGGTGCGGGACGTTGTCCTCGTGGCCTCTTTGTCGTATTTTATCTGCAGGACATCCACGTGTGTTGCTGTCTTGCTGAGATACAAATATATTGCGGTTAATTAACACAATTAAGAAGTAGTCCTTATAAAACATTAAAAAAAATCATAAAGTAGACGTTTAAAAAATTGGGCAATGTCTATTTTTTACCCAAACCTTTTACAGATTCTTTTATTTTAACCAAACCTATTGAATTCCTAAAAATTATCCAAACGTTAACTCTCCGTCAACTTTTCTGTTAGTAATGCCGACTAAGTATGACCATAATGAGTTGACTTCCTACGTGGCGGTCAGAATACCATCATTTACTATTTTTAATAAAAAGATTATCAAAAAACAAAACAAAATCCCACCTCTCACGTGGACGAAATAAGTAACGGTAACATAATGAATGCCCAGACTTTGATAAATTATAATACGTTTGGATAATAAATAGAATTTCTATAGGTTTGGTTAAAATAAAAGAATCTAAAAAAGGTTTGGGTAAAAAATAGACATTACCCAAAATATTATAACTAGTTGAGTAAAAAATAACTCGAGTACCACTTAAGTTTGAGAAGTGGGTAGATATACACTTAAGTTTTAATAGACCGTCGGGTACCATTAAAGTTATCAAAATATACATCCGTTTATTTTTCATCCAACCCAAACTTGTAATTATTTTTTGATACCGAAAACTTTTAAAAACATTCAAAACAATATTTCAACAAGTTTTATCTAATATAATAATTAGAAAATCTTCTAAACATATTATTACTAGAATCTTAAATCAAACGAATATCAATAAAATAGATAAATTAGTAAAAATACTAAACGAATATCAAGGAGAATAATAAATATACTAGAATATAATAATAAATATTTAAAATCAATATAAGAATATCTATTTTAACCCCCTAATTCAATTAGAAGCACCATTAATTAAAAATAGTTAAAATAGAATCTAATCGATCATCAATACATAAAAATCAAAGAAGAATAAATGGAACACAATCAAAAAAATTAAACATATTGCACTAATTGGAAAAATTTAGAACGAAAGAGATGACAAGTAACTAAGTAATAAATAAAACAGAAAAGCTACAACATTCGGTAAAAAATGTAGAAAAGAAAATATGACTATAAAAGCTACAACATTGTTTAGTTACAACATTCATGGAATAATTCAATTATTAGAACACATAATAATAATTGATTCTAAATTTTCTATTTAAAAATTGGTTTCGTACCAAGTATTCAAAAGAGGATTCTAACTAAACAATAAAAAATTATGTTTTTCATAAGTGCAAATAATTTTTTTACAATAAGAAAAGTAGAATGACCAATTATGAAATTTAGAAAACAAAATATTTCAAGAATATTCTGTCAACTTTAACAAAATGTAACAGAATGTACTTAGCAATAAACTAAAGTGGTATCAGATGCACATATAATAGAGTTCAGTGATACCCGACACCTTATTCAAACTTAAAGAATATGTTTACTCCAATTTTCAAATTTAAGTGTTAGCCAAGGTATTGGACCTTTTTTAATGGTCCAGCCCATCTGCAACCTTGCATATATTATATATAGAATGGTTCTCAGCCCAAAAGAGGATGAGCTTTCTTTCTTATTGGGTTTGAGGCCCAAGCCTTGACTTTGTACCTTGGGCCTTTTACTCGAATCTCCATTAGCCATGGGCTCATGGCCCTTGTGAGTGAATTTGAATGAACTCTTGACTTGGTATCTTTTGAATGTAACTGACTTTTTCGAAGAATATTTTATAGCCCATACATAAAACTTGTTCACTGGACATGATTATAGTGAGATCATACGCAAGATGAAGGAATGAACTTCAAACTATGAAGAGATAGAGGATTCAGTGAAATAGCTTAACAGATCAATATCTTTTGATACATCAAACAAAAATTCTAAGAAGTGCTAATAATTTGTCAAACGTAATGGGATTCAAAAGAAAAATCTTTGCTTGTAGTAGAATTATCGGTCTCTCTACGTATCTTTGAATCTATACGAGAATCATTATCAAAAAGCTCATCCTCATCATCATAATAATCTGTTTACCTAAAGAAAAAGTGAGTGGCACTCAGAGCTCAAATCTTGAGAACGAGAATCACCTATACAAAACGGGAAAATAATAATGACACTTGGAGTTAAAAACTTTTAGACACAACAATCACCATAAAAATACTAGTTATTCTTTGTTCTCTTTCTTTCTCTTCCCCACTTAGACCTACATGTCACACATATTCATTCATTCATTCATACTGAATTGCAGACAAAGAAGCTCAAATCTTATATGCAACCAGCTGGTCCCCGAGAAAAAAAAGTTTGAACTGCAGTTACATAATTCATACTTAAATTTCAACCCGGAGAGTTTGAATTACGAAAGTACAACAATTGATAAGAAGAAAAGGGAATCCACTACTGGGGGGAAATAAAAACAGAAACAAAACTGATACAGGAAAAACCTACACAATGAAAATGCAACATGTGGAGTGTACTCTCAAATGGCATTATGTTAGGCTTGTTTTCACCAATTTGAGGCTGTCTGCTCTTTCATTGGTATGGGATATGAGCAGCAAGCAGTCCCCCCCCCCCC